GGCTATACATTAAGTGCTTTGGGTTTTCTTCTTCACAGCTCATAAGTTACGGCTAACTGTATTTAAACGCTGCGGACAGCGATAGTTGTTTGTACTTACATTCAACACTTTTCTTTCGGACATTGGTGCTTCTGCTGGAAACCGACTAGGAAGAATGAAACGTTGGAATAACAACACTGCTCAGGCTAACAGGCTAACTGCTTCTAGGCTTCACTCTGGACTTCCGGTTGTCTCATTTGTAGCTACTTCAAAGTGTGCTGCTGCCCCCTGGTGGAGAGGAGTGAGTGCTTACAACGACATCCTCGAAGGCATTAACGCTGCATAACAGACAGGACAAGGATTTAATCAGAAACAGTTATATAAAAAAAGTAAAAGTAAACAATCTTAAACAGGTGTTTTATTAGAAGCACTGGCTCTCTTCTCTGATTTTAATGTAATTGTAGTAGAGTTTAATGAGGATGGTCTGACTCTTATACCCACCCTGTATAGTACGCATTACATTAATGCACCCACGGTTCTTCTGCACAGCTTTCATCTTCTTATCTTTCTTATCTTTATCTTTTATATTTTGAAGTACTTTTATTATTGTTGTGGTGATTTTTGTGTGATTTGAATAATTGTATAGTGTGTATATTTGTATGCACCAACTGCACCAAGTCACAGCCTCGTAGGCATAAAAACCTACTTGGCAATAAACAAAATTCTGATTCTGATTCTGATTCTGATTGATACACTGTGTATTGATCAATGGTACAAACGCCTTGCATGTTTGTTGTTCTATATAATAATTAACACATTTCAAGGTGCTTTAGACAAAAGACAAAAAGGCATTAGGACTGAATATAAAAGCACCATAAGGCAATATAAACATACATTTAAATAAACATTTTTTTTATTAAAACTGGTTATTAAATACATTTTAATAATATTAATAATAATAAAATACACACACATATTATATAGCAGGTAATTATATGAAAATAAACAAGGCTCAGTACTAGTTGATGCTCAGCAATACAGCAGCAACTTAATTGATACTTTGCTAACACAAAGTATAAAATATAAAAGCATATTTTAGTAATCTTTACTCGTGCCAAATCTACATGTATATTTCTGCATTTATATATATGTGATTTTTACCGATCATTCAATCAGTTACAAACATTAACCATTTGAAACCTAATGTTACCATTATAGAAACCTTCAAATTTAGATAAAAATCTAATTTACACATTCTGTCATGGCAGTTTGATTTAATGTGCTGAAAGTGACACACGTCAGAATATTCACGTCTGTGTATGAATACATTGACATACCTTGTTTTTGTGTATACATAAACATACTAAAATCTGAACTTAAAATACTTTTTCCATCACTTTTACTCAACCTGAATGAGTCATAGCCTTTAATGACCGCTGCCTTCATTGTGCAGTCTACCCTGGCCCTGTGTCTTCCTCAGTGGAGGAGATCTTGATCAACATGGTGGAGGAATGGCCTCTCAGGGCTAACTTGAATTGTCAGTGACACAGGGTCTCTGACAGGGTTGGTGTGCAAACATAAGCCTGTCAGCTACACACACACACACACACACGCACACACAGAGACACATTACTTAGGGGGTGGTTAAGGTTATTTCCACAAAAGGAAATTGGATCCTGATTACAGATTGGTGTCAATGTGGGTTAACCTGAGGTCTGATTTCAGCTTTATTGAACAGAGGTGACAGGAGAAGATAGGCAGAATAGATTAGCAGCAGAAGGGAAAAGGCTTTACAAAAGTTACCCTCCAAAAGACGTTGTTTGGTGTATCTTAATTATGTTTTATATACCATCATTTGGATGTGACAGTTCCAGATTCAGATTCACAGTTTTGTTCGGCGATGGCCTTATGTGGCGAGTTCGCAGCCTGATTCTGACACATCAAAATGACTCATTAATGAGTCAGATATACAGTATGTTTAACTGAAAAGGCTTAATTTGCCTACAATAGGCCATATTAGGATTTAAAAATAGACTCCATTGAAGGAAAAGGAGTTTGATCCCCATTCAGCCCCCAGATTACTTTATCAAATATGCTTTGTGAAATGTAAATCCACCTTTAACCCTCCTTGATCCCATTCTGTGATCATCCGGAGAAACAAAGGTGCTGAGCAGTGTCACCCATGTCAAAACCGTCCATGAATATTTCAAAAGGCTGGCTGATGTCAACAGCAGCCGTCTAACGCCTATAAAGAGGGGGGCTGCTCTCTGTGCAGGAGACCTCCAAACCCCTCCGCTGACTTCCCACTTAGAAGAGAAGGACTCCTCCTCTTTGTGTTTCAGCACCATGGTCAGCGCTCGAGCTCTCCTCCTCGCGGCTACCTGCTGCTGCGCCTACCTGTGCCTCGCTCGTGCGGAGGACTCCTCGCTGGAGACGCGCTCGTTGGATTTCCCCCTGAAGAGCCAGCAGGAGAAAGACCTGGTGAGAGATTCTTTATAACAATTATTGGTTGTGAAATGTGTCAGCTGTTGGTTCTGACTTTTTAAAGTGACTCTCTTAAACAAAAAGATTAATAGCACACAGATATTGAAGGACAAAAAGTTACTCGAGTTGTTGACTTTATACTTAAGGTAGACCAATGAATTCCCCCACAAAATTGACTTTTTTAAATGCATCATTTTATTTTATTAATTTAAATTTAATTTGTTTTTCTCTGCAGATTGACGCGTTGCAAGAGGTTTTGGAGAAGCTGAGGAGCAAAGAGATGCCCTTAGAGAAAAAGCTTGGCTGGCTGCCTTCGGTATGTACACCAAATTCCATTTTCAGGAATGGGTTTCTTTATTATTTGTTGCTGTAATGTTTTCAATTTATAGAATGTGTTTTGATAAGTGGATAAGATAGATAGAGTTTGAACTCTGAAATTCAAATACATACATTTCTAAAATTTTAAATACTAATACTTTGATCAAGAAAGTAAGTCTACAACTTATATGCGCATTTTCATGAATCCATGTTGTTTTTATCGTTGCAGTGTGACGCAGGGGAACCGTGCGCCGTGCGTAAAGGCGCGCGTATCGGCACGCTGTGCAGCTGTCCCCGGGGGACTGCCTGCAACTTTTATGTTCTCAAATGTTTGTGAAGAGAGAGCTCAGGGGAGTTTTGAGTGACACAACATGTTTCCATTCTCTTTGTGAAGAAAATAAAAAACGCGATGTAATATGTGATTCATAAAGGACGCTTTTCTTTTATAAACTTGGACTGAAAAACAGAGTTTAAAGGTCTGTAGTCATTTGTCTTTATGAGTGTTCATGATCGTGGCACAGGAGGGAAGTTATCTGTGTGGGATTGTGGCATCTTGTGACATACTTTGAATGCAGTTTTCTGTCATAAAACCTCGGTTTCCCTTATCATTTTGTTTGGGTTTTTGTTTGTTGTTGTTCCTGTTATGGGGGAAGACAGTAAAGCTGTATCCTAGCATCGGTTTCTAAACATATTTGTAAGATAAGGAGGTCAATAAATCAAGTAGCCTAAAATTATATTCAAGTGTCTGTTGCACTCTTCTAAAAAAGAAAACACCTCACTGGTTGCCTGTCAGCAGTTGCATTCTTCCTCAAACATCACTTGTTGGCAAACCGCTTAAAGGGACAACATTAAAGAGAAATATATTGATCCCTTTCGCCGCGTGTCATCAATAATCCATCCGACCTACACATTCACTAATGCGCGGCTGCATTCCAGCACACCAGCTGTCATCTCTCTGTAATAAAAGGCGCTGTCAGGCTTTTTTTCAATGACATCATATCCAACTGCAAGTTTCCAACATGGCGTCCAGCCGGGTGCCGGAGAGGGAGGTCCGGGAGGAGCCGAGGCGCTCTGCGACCGCAAACCTCGACTTCTGCCTCCACAAATACTCCCTGCTCATCGTTATCGGACGGACCGCACGCCCCAGACAGACGGCACACATCAGCGGGGACATTGAACGAGGTACGTTTATTTCCAGCCGCCTCTTACCGCCGCTGTAGGCTGCGTCGCTTTGCTTTTTCTCTGTATTCGCATACAAAAATCAGACGCCTGCAAGTTTTGTCGCCTAAATCATCACCAAGGATGCTACACTGACCCCATTGCAGTGTTTATGTAATTTTATCCACCCTACTGACCGAGGATGCGTCATCTGGCGGTACTCCACCATCAGCATCACCTCATCCCTCTGGCCACATTATGATTAAAAGCAGTTTGGAGCGGGTGGTTTGTCTTTCGCCTCAGTATATTATTACGTAAGGAGACATTTTTTTGCATTTGGGCATGTTGATATTCAGTCAACACATAGCCACTTGTAAACGACGTGCCATTAACCTTTGTGTGTTTATGTAAACCAGTGACTGTGGAGATGGTGCATGGCAGGATATAATAACCCCAGTACAGTCTGTGTGAGTACAGCTGTAAGATACGTTTGAGTGCATTCAGTTTATGTCAAAACTGCATAGACTGTAGGATAAATAGATAAGGGAACAGAAACATATGGATATATACAGAGAGACAATAAAACAGAGAGATATTTATCATTTTCATTAGGCCTATTAATATTTCATCACTGTCTGGTGAAAACCATGTACTTCCAAAATGTCAGTGTTTCATGAGCTAAGAAAAAAATGGCCCAGTTTTCAGCTCCAGCATTCATTTTGCAAGTGTTGCAATTTTTTTCAATGATTTATTTATCTAAAGAAGTCTAAGAAGTAAAACATCCCCAAATAGAGTTTTTTAATGTCATAAATGTTGGTTCACTGGCCACTTTATAACATCTGTACAATGCAGTCCACTAAAACAGCTCTGTCATGAATTCTACTGTTATGAAGCGTATACATTTCCAGTTTTTGTTGACACTGTTAGAAAGGTGATAATTTTACTTTAAGCATCTTATTGTTGTTAATTTAGTACTAAAGATTGTACTAAAATACATAATAAAAAAACTCTTACAACTGCTTAAAAAAAGGATACATTCAGAGTATCTCACATTAGCTGGTAAACTGTCCCGAATTTGAATAAAGTCAAAAGAACCATATCTTTAACTATTGACTTAGTTTTGACTATATTAAGCTGGTCTAAAGTACATGTAAACACCAGTTATTACTTTGGCCCATTTAGGAGTTTCAACACATGATTTGTTGTTAAAAATCTAACCTGTTAGCAATGACCTGTACTTAAATTAGTTGTTTTAGTGTAATCAGAAATGTAGCCTGTCTTTTTTGTACGTATTTTTATGTAAGTATTAAGTAATATTATTTGACTGAATGCACATTAGCCGACAAGTGTTTGCAAAAGCAGGTATACTTGCTATACGTGCTGAATAAATGCCTAAATGGAAAGGGTACTTGAAAAATGACTATTTGTAAAATCAGTAGTATGTGCACATTAGAACTTTTACACTTTATTTTTGTTTGTTTTCTGATTATTTAGACATTTCTGTGTATTATGTTGTTATAATTGTTGCCCTATGTGACCAACATGTCTTTTATGTCTCCAGGCATTCGGTCATGGGACGTAGACTTAAAATCCTGTAACCTGAACCTTTATCTCCAAGAATTCCTCTCACATCACACGGCATCTTTCAAGGGTGCAGGTAGGTAGCAGTGTTTTAATGTGACTCCTTACCCAAACTCTTCGACCCTTTATCGCACAGAAAGCCCTGTCCCCATGGAAACCCGCCTGCTTGGCCATTTCAGGGGTCAGCGAGGAAGGAAGGAAGGAAAGTGCAGGAGCAGTTGGGTGATTGTTAAACATGGGTGGGCCCTTTGGACAGAAAACAATAGAGACGTACAACCAAGCTGTGCCACCTCTCTTTCTGTACAGCGTTTTAGTATGCAGAGCCAAGGACAATCGGGGAAATGGTGAAAAGGCAGACAAACATCAGAGTCAGACAGTTACAGCTGAGCTGCGAAGTGAGGTGATGAACACAGACAAGAACAGACAGATCTCTTCCTAGGGAGGACAAAATGGCAGCCAGAATTATTTCCCATATATGGTAAATTCTACTTTAGTGAATTCTGTTTTAGTAGTACTTACGTTATTTATTTACGTGTTATAATGGTTGCCAGACTTTTGTAAAATGGAAGGATTTGAAATGTAAAGTGAAGAGATAGAGAAGTGATTTGGAGAAATAGTGCAGTATTTTGGGGAATAAGCTAGAGTTAGATGAGAGGATCAATACCATTACACGAGAGAGGTATTGATCATCTCACCCAAGCGTCAGCAAGACAGTGAATAAATCTTTTTCCCATATCATAAAAATGTGTCAGTGCAATAGCCAGTGAGGAGTGGCTGTAATTTTTATCTTTTTGTTTCTAACTTGAACTAAAGACAAAGAAACTTTTGTTCTTATTTGGGTCATTATTTTCCAGTTGGCTGTGTCCGCCTCTGCATCTTCATGTTGATCCAGTTCCACATCAGACTGGATATTCCTCCAGATTGAGTTAACTTGGCATCTCAACCTCAGACAGTCCCTCTGACTCAGCTGTTCCACTCTTCTTCCTTCCACTTTTTCAAACAGGGAGTCAATCACTCGCTCGGTTATCCCAGTTCACGTTCTCATTGACTTCTTTGGATTCCCTTCCTATTTGCTCAGATCTGTTGGCTTGTTTCCGAACTACCTCAACTATGACTTTCCCCATCTCTTGTAAGCTTCCCCTTGGCTGTCTGCCCGTCTGTCTTTCTCTTTCTATTCTTTGTTTTTCTCTCTGCCTCTTCAGGGCTGAAGTGTCTGCGCCACAGTACCAGAGTGTTGGATACTCAGGTGCTGATCAGTCCAACTCAGGAACAGGTCCGTTTAGAGGTGAGGGGATAAATCCTGGTTCCTTCAGAGATGCAACAACTTCTTGGAAGATAGCTGAGCAAACCAGGTGTTATAATGATGCAGTGCTGGAAGTATTCTAATTTGGACTTATTTTTATAAAAGTTTTTTTATATTTATAGAAATTTATTAAAATGATCTTTTTTAAAGGTAAGTTGAGTTGATACAGTAATTTGATAGTCCATAATGATTTTCATATGATTACAGACATACAAATGAACAAATTTTTGCATTATTATGAGGGAAGCAGCAGCAAATATTTGTTTTTCATTAGTGAATAATCTGATGATTAACCCAATTTAATACATTTTATATTCACAAGACTTAGTTTGTTAAACCAACAGTCCTAACCCCTAAAATATTAAATTTACAATGATATAAAGCAGTGAAATCAGCTCAAAAAGCCTCTTAGGTTATTAAATATTCTGGTGGCAGTTTTGTTAAATAAAGCAAACAAAGAGCCTCTGTTGTCAGGCGTCAGACCCTCACCTCTCTTCCCGTCTTTGGTGGGGAGGTTGAGGTTAGAGTGCCAGATGTTCTGTCACACGAGTGATCCTGCTGACAACGGCAATCTGTGGTGGCAGTTTAGTTAAATAAAGCAAACAAAGTGAATTTTGGACTATCATGCATCATTAAGAGCACGAGCACCAGAGAGACCCGAATGAGTAAAGACCAGAGCAGAGCAGTCACACATGATCTATTTCTGGGGCAAAGTGTTGTTACAAAACAGATACAAAACTTGACTTATGTAGGTTCTTCTTCCCTTATTTTTTTCTCTTATGCTGTTCTTTTATTCTAGATTATGGGCCATAAAGTGACACAGTAAAATAAAAAACACTTTTTATCTCTCTGGCCTGGACAGGTGTTGGCTCTGCTGTCCAGGGAATCGGCTCATAAGCTGTTGATCTTGGCTGGTCAGAGTGTGGAGGAAAGTGGAGACCTGCTGTTTCACAGAGGACTGTTCTCACCACAACAACTGAAACAAATACTAACAGAGCAGGTAACACAAAATCTCCCTATGACTTATTTCTCTGCCAATACATTTACTTTAGCTGCATGTTAGGTTAATATAATCTATAATCTATACATTTAGGTTGCAAATAACATTTATTTTGACTGCAGATTGATCTATATCATATAGATATAGATCATATATAATAAAGGAATAAATCTGAGAAAATGCTCTGTCTTTAGCTCAGAGATCAAGACAGCTCTGCCTCCCCCTCCAAACTAAATCTGACGCTCAGCTGTCCCAACATCGGCCAGTGGAGGAAGACTCTCTTGGGAAACCAGCCTCTGCAGGGTCCTTTCACACTGCACATTAATCCCCCAGAGGTGCTGCCTGTCATGGAGGCTCTGGGGGAATTCACCTCGCTCATCTCTGGCACGCTTTCCCCTCCATCTCCCTTTGACCTCCTGCCTCCTCCCACCACCGTGGGTTTTCTCAAGCTGTCCCGCCCCTGCTGCTATGTGTTCCCTGCTGGCCGTGGTGATTGTGCCTTTTTTGCCGTTAACGGGTTCACTGTGCTGGTGGACGGCGGTTCGGACTCTCAGGCCTGTTTCTGGAAGCTGGTCCGCCACCTTGACCGAGTTGATGCAGTTTTGTTGACACACGTTGGAACAGAGAACCTCCCAGGAGTCAACACCTTCCTGGAGAGGAAGGTGGCTGAGTTGGACCTGAGCTCTGATATCAAAGGTAAGAAGTCAGGTTTTATATAATAATCTGTTCAGCATTCATCACCCTCTATCCTTAGACCCTAAGAAAAAAACAGAAAGGACAAAGGAGGCATCCCTCTAACCAGAAAAACAAGGGTGGTGATGTTGCTGATTCTCCTGCAGTAAAAGATATAATAAAGAAATATTGTTAGGAGATTTGTCTTTCTTTACCTGTTTTATGTTCATATTTACTTTTTGTTCAAGTGTTTCTTTGTGTCTTTATATTCTTTTGTCTGAACAGATGACTCGTCTAAGAGGCTCATCTCCCCAGAGCTTGGAGTTGTGTTCTTTAACGCCCCCAGCAGGTTACAGCTGGAAGAACAGCCTTGTGAGTGATGCATTAACACCTACGGTAGTACAGTACTGAATAAGATATGACTGAGAAGGGAATATGACCTTAATCAAATCACATATATTAAAGCTCCAGTGTGTAACATTTAGGAGAATGTATTGGCAGAAATGGAATATAATATTCATAGTTACGTTTTCATTGTATAATTGTGTTTAAACCTTAATGTTTTTGTTACCTTAGAATGACAAAGAAACAGGGCATTATTCCCTAGTCAAGTGTAATGGTCAGTTGGATTTCTAATGTAAATGATTGCTATCAAGTAAAGTCATCATTCTTCTCATGCCAGGTGTGGACAATGTACTCAAGAGCACACACCAGGCGGCCCTAACCTTACAGTTGTTGAAGAAGTTAGACATCAGACCACAACCATTGTTTCGACCGCAAGGGGTCCCCATTGAACCACTCACCCTGTTCCAGAAGATGGGAGTGGGACAGTTGGATTTATATATCCTCAACCCTGGCAAAAATAGTCAGGAGTACCAGACATTCATGCAAAACTGGCCTGATGCAGTGTCGTCAGCATCCAAATTCCACACTCTCCCTCTCACCGCCTTGGCCTCAGTGTCTGCCCTGCTTGTGTGGCACCCAGCGTGTCCCCAGGAGAAGGTGGTCAGGGTGCTGTTCCCTGGTGTTACCCCACAGGCAAAGCTACTGCAGGGACTAGAGAAGCTGAAGGGGCTGGCCTTTCTCCAGAAACCCACAGTGACCACCGGGGATCTGGAGCAGTTGGGGGAGGACAGAAAGACCAAGAGGACAGAGAGCCAGGACAGTGGCAGGTCACAAGGGAAGGAGTCAACTATCAGACATGGAAAAGATCGGGGAGTTAAAGAAGAGGGAAAGGAGGTACTGGTACGGGACAAGGGAAAAGTATTAAATGGAGTCGCTACAAGAGATACTGAGAAAACCAGAATCAAAGAGACAGGTGTAAAGCAAAAAGCAACATCGTCAGAGAAGAATACTTCAAAGAAAGGAGGAGGGAAGGATGTAAAAAAGGAGGAGAAGCCTGGCAATAAAGAGGAGAACAGTGTTATGAGGAATGATCAGGGGAAAAGGGATGTTCTCACTCCCAAACCAAAGAATGAAAATAAAACGAAGCTAAAAAAGGAAGCAAAAAATGACTCTAAAACAGGTGCAAAGAAAACCAGAAAACCATCAGGAAAGGAGGCAAACAATGGCAAGAAGGTGCATGTAAACACTGAATTGACAAATAACCATCCAACAAAAGCCGACGCTGGGCCAGACGGTCTTGCTATAGAGCAGCAGAATCAAAAACCGGAGAAAGAGTGTGAAGAGAACCCTTGTGGCTCCAAAATGTCTACCCCTGAGGACATGACAGCTGATTTTCTCAGGCTCCGGGAGGAAACTGAGTTGCAGCTGGAAACAGCAGATAAAGGAAAGCAGAGAAGCACTGAGTCAGGAAATGAAAAGAACCTCAGAGGCCTTGAGACAAGTAATGAAACTGCTGATACACTCGGGGAAGAAGCAGCAGGTGGCGCGGGGATAATGGGAGGAGAGAGTGGTGATAATGGAGCACAAAATAAGGCTTGGGCTGGAGAGAAAGCTGATGTAGACTGGCAGAAAGCGCCTGTAGACCAGCCTGGAAATCCTGCCAAACCAGCAAAGGTTGTAGGATTTCCAGCTCCCTTGAACAAAGCGCCAAAGAACGAGCACACAGTCCAGCTCGACATAACCCCAACTGAATACACTCTCCTGGACGGGGCTTTGAGAAATAGCCCTCCCTCGCGATCCTCTCCAGAGAACCAGGTCCCAGTCAGCCCTGATGAAGAGACCGTTGAGCCTGCCTCCCCTGATTCACGGCCCAACAGTGCAGGCCACACTCCTTACTGTCTGTCCCCAGATGATGTGTGGTGCAACAGGGCCACTCTCAGCAGGTTACAGGCCCAGATGGGTAACTTAGAGTCAGCTGATGTCAACCAGGCAAATGAATCATCCAAGCAAAGTGAGGAGCAGCCCAAAACCACTACAGAGAACCACGCAAACACCAGGGAGAAGCACCTAAGTTTCCTTTCTTTGGGTTCATTTAAAGATGGATCTTCAGACCCCTCTCCGTCTTTCACTACCACCACCACCACTACACACTCCATGCCAGCAGAGGTCAGTTCACCTCAGTCCACAGAAGTAGATGAATCACTGTCTATGTCCTTAGAGCAGGGACCAACCACTGTGAGCCAAAGAGAGGGGGATGACAGTGCTTATAACTCCCACTCCAATGGAGGCCATTTTGTGGGGATGTCCTTACCAATGAAGAAGCCTCCAAGATCTTTAGGGCAGGGTTCAGAGATGGGGCGACCTCCAGCTCCTAACACACTTCATTTTGAGGCATCAGCTCACGATGTGGATCTATGCCTGGTTTCCCCCTGCGAGTTCAAGCATTTCAAACCAACTGACACCAGCTCAGGTGGGAGCGAGTCCTCCAGAGGAGCCTTTGCTCCACATCATCATGGCAACAACAACAACAACCCCAAGGACACATCGCCCAGTGAGTCAAATGCCCCGGTCTGCACGGAGGACTGTCCGTCCACCACAGCAGATGGAGCTCTGGACTCGGATGAGGATGAGTCTTGTAGTGAGCCGTCTAATTCCCCCCATGGGCTCCGCACCAGTCAGGCTCTGCCCCAGGACCCTCTTCCAGCCCCTCTCAGGGACAGTCCGCCACTGCCCCCACATCCCGATGCCTCTATGCCTGTTCCCCAGTCTGACTCTGAGGCTCACGGGAAGAGAGCAAAAGCTACTGGAATGCGAGGGAAGAAAACGCCAGCGGTGAGTTTGTCTTAGTAGCATAGAAGAAAAGGATGTCTGTATAATTTGGTGCATGTGTGTATTTAGGCTAAATCTTTTGGTCAATATATGTTTTTACCATGGCTTCTGTACTGTACATCCCTTTAAATATTTAGTCCTGGTCACAGTTGATTTCACAAACATTTCAAGGCACTTGAGATATAAAGTTAAAGCATTCTGGTATTATTTTGTCAACAGAATAGGTATTTTATGCATTAAAACTCCTTTTCCCTCTCCATAAATAGCCTTCAAGTGAGGAGATACTTTCTGAGCATTAATAGAAATCACTTAGATACTCAAAGTAGACATTTTGAGCACCTGGATTATATAATGAATTTGAAGTTATTCTGATTTTGAGGATAAAATTGTTGTTTATTACTATAGTTGGAGTGAAATCTAACAGTGAACCTTTTTGTTACCAGTTTACTGAGGTCTCCCAAAGATCAGGCTCAGGGAAAAGCAGGACAGGGAGCCAAAGTGGAGTCTCAAAGGGGAATGTCTCTTCTACTCGTACGCCTTCCTTCAGCAACCGTTCAGCACCAGCAAAACCCTCACCCAATCCAGGTATAAAATGTAAATTATATAAAGTACTTTGCAGACCAAAGTGCGTCCCCTGATTTTTATTGAATTGGTGTCTTGGCTATCAGCAGTTTCTCCTCTCTTCTGTTGCAGGCAGCAAGTCTACCTCTGTTGAGGAAGTCAGTGTGTACGTGGACCTGGCCTATATTCCCTCTGGAGCCTCCTCCCCAACAGTCGATGTGGATTTCTTCAGATGCGTTCGCTCCTCCTGTTACATTGTGAGTGGAGAAAGTCCAGAGAGAGAAGAGCTGTTGAGGCATACGCTGGATGCACTACTGGATAGCAAGAAATCCTGGCCTGACACTATGCAGGTAGAAACACACACACATTCTTGCTCAATTGAAACATGTATTTGGTGGATTTCTTATATAGCACCTATATATAACCCTACCTTTCAACCAGTTAGAAAAGAATCAGACTCTGTGGCAGTGGTATAAGTTTTGTAGCACAGATCATGGGGTGCTGTTAAATGCAAGATGAATGTCCCTACTAATAAAGAATAAATCATAAATTAACCCATGAAAGGATATTAAGAAATATCTACATCCTGTAAATTGAGTTTATTGTTGCATCAAAGTTCAGATCAAAGCCCCCTCTGAGAGAGAAAAGATGATCATACATTGATAAAGAACATATGCAGAAACTGATTTCAGCTAATTAAACTGAAGTCAGTGCCTGTTCTAATGTTTTTTATCAGGTTAATGATCAAATACAGGTTCATATGAATGTGATCAACCTGTTTTTACAGCACAGTCTCCTTTATCATGGTGCTTCCGATGTCTTGCCACAAATGAATGACCAACATTATTTACTAATGGGGCAGTTTCCCTTTTGTATGCAGTGGAAATGCTGTAAAACCTCTCCAAATTAGTAAAGTAAAGTTATTTTTTGGCAGTGTCAAAATAGCCAATACATATTAAAAACTATTTAAGCCGTAACTGGACCTCAAACTCCAACCCATTCATCATTCTCTGCAGATACGAATATGAAAACAAGTTTCAATGAAAGTTAACGACTTGGATACTGCAGCCACAGATACTGACAAACTACTGAAAGTGTTGGGGGGGGGGGTATTTTCTTTCTTTTTATTGGCCTATACTTTTATTTTTAATCTTCAGGTGACAGTGATCCCCACCTTTGAGTCTGTGCCGATGCAGGAGTGGTACCAGCAGACCTTGGACAGACAGAAGGAGCTGGGCATCACCGTGCTGGGATCCAACAGCACTGTCGCCATGCAGGATGAGACCTTCCCTGCCTGCAAGATAGAATTTTAAAGCAGACTTTGGGATGATGTATGGTGAATATGAGGTGAAGGGTGTGTAAGACTGGGCTGAACGAGTGAAAGAAATTAGTTATAAACAGAGTTTATGGGGAAATAAAGGAATTATATGGCCCCTTTCTGCACGAACACAACTGAGTTGGTAATGACATGGGACGTTCACACTATCCCCTTTCCAGGCTAATCACTTCTTTGTGGGCTACTTTTGCACCAAAAAGCCCTGATGTCTCTTTTATCCAAGAAGAACACATATTCTTGTGGGGATTATTGCATGCATTTTTTTGACCCATGACCTTGTGCTAAACAGGAGAGGAGATCACACTGGCTGCAAGAGAAGCATGTCGGGCTGCAAACATGTGCATCCACATGAAAGCAGATGTTGTAGATTAGTTAATATAGTTAGCATACATGGGGTTTAAAGCACTATGTGCAGGCTAGTGAATTGTAGTCTGTGCTAAGGGCCCATTTTGCTGCTTTTAATACAACATTTGCGACATTTATTTAGTTAAAGGAATTAAATTCAGCAAATCAAACTACTCCAGATACTCCCAAATGGCGAGAATGTGCAAAACTTCTCGATTATGAAAAATAGGTCACATTGTATTTCTCTTATTTACTATAATTATATTTGTCTGATTACCACAGAAGATCTCTATATTGTAAAAAGAGTCTTACATTGTACCTTTTAATGAAATCGCAGTGTGTGGTCAAGTGTTTGTTGTGAGCACTGTAAGCAGATATGAGGTGAGCTGTGTTGTGTGTTGTAACTGCTTTAAAAAAGCGTTGTGCCACTGTGGCTTTCACTGTTGACCTCGAGATCTCAGAAATATTCTGACCAGATGAGACATATCTGACGTTAGTGAGTGATAATCGCCCGCTGAATCAGAGATTACCGAATCAGAGTGTGCAAAGACAAATCTGTCAGCAGGGATTAGAGTACCAGATTGGATTTAACAGCATTACAGCAATCATCTTATTAAGTATAGTAATTAATTGTAATCCATTACAAGTGCTTAAAACAATACATATCAGGAATCAGACTGCAAATGCTTTTGTAGAGATAGATGTTGACTTCTTATCTTACTCAGAATCAATAAATAAAATAATTAAAAGTAATTTTAATGTGGACATGGTGGCTATATGATCATACGCTTATTGTAGACAAATAAAACCATGGTGTAGTCACTGTTGGTGGTAATGATGGCTTTCCAAGTTGTACTTTGTAAATAAGACTAAATTAAAAATCTTATTCTACAAATATAGTGTTCAATAGCCTAACAGCATGTAATTTGACAAATATAAAGGGTTTTCCACTAATAAATCAATTAATATTTCCTTTAATTAGTCCCAAATTATTTCGATTTTTCCTGGTCTTCCCAGGAAATGATGAGGACATTACAGATCTGTAAAATAAAGCACTTTGTAATAAAGCAGAGGAATTAGTAATCTAATGGATTACACTGTAATCTCTCTAGACCTGTCTGTCCATTTTTATCATTTTTGTTTCCTTTTATCCCAGTCTGGATGTCCAAGAACAAATATCATGTAAATATATCTGATTATCTTGTTGTTGCTGTTTAAGTTCACACAAATGTGAATGTGACAACCAAAGCATGAGATCACAGAGACACAGATCATTTCCCCCTCCATCTGAATGCTGCCTCCAAATACAGAAAAAAAATCCATTTGATTCAATATCTCTTAATATCTGAAATATACTTTGTAATTCTATAAATGCCCTGTTGAACTTTTATTACTGATTTTTTAACTGTCCTGCAGATTTGTTTTATTTTGTTCAGTCATCCTTCTTTTATCACTTTCTCACTTTATGTGTCCCATTTGTTGTCCAAACCAAATTCATTACAATCCCCCCAAAATTTTAACATACCTTTGTCTTTTTTCTGCAAAAGGCTGCCAGATTAAATGAGTTATTGGGAATGGATTGTTGAACTAGATCTGTAATCATGGGTAACAATTACTTGAACCCCACAGTAGCTAAGTGAATTGTAACTATGTGTATGTGTCCCGCATGTATAAAAATACTGTATGTACTGTATGTTATTTCATTCATGATATTCATGAAGACAGAGAGCAAAGCACTGTGGGAGAGCAGGACAGGATGGGATGAAAAACCTGATGAATGATGAACACTGAGAACCTTTCACTTTGTAATTGTCTGTGATACAGTAACAAAGGGTTGTGTGGGGCCGGGAGTAATGTATGAATAAAGAATGTGCATAACCATTCAAAAGTGTCTTTTGAGAGTCTGTGGAAGTGCAAATTCTTTAGCAATGTTGCCTTGTGAACGAAGAGTTTAATTCCAACAAAATATTCTCCTTTTTTTAAATTTACCAAAAGGATGCAATGAAAAAGTGAAACATACATCAGCAGTTTACTAAAATATCACAAAAATGTAGTTTTTACACAGTTATAAACTATCTTACTGCAGTATTATACTTATTATTATACTATCACTTTTCATTTCAGTCCCATATTGGCACTAGGTGTATTCAGGGTTCACAGTATTCTGTGTCAATAAAATGTCTGGTGTCTTTTAAGTTGATAACAATCATACTTAGACTTCTCAACCATAGAAGTTGGTAAACTGAACTTGCTTAAAATGCTGCTCACATCAGTGCATCAGTAATAATATTCCAATAACACACACACACACACACACACACATATATATATATGACAAATATAACAATCCTGCATTATGAATACTTGTACTTTTACTTTTAAAAATTACATCTATTTTTATGGGCTTCATCTTACAAGAGGGTGGAAACCCCCAATGGGTTGGTCTTCATAACACAAGTTCAAAGTTTCACTTTTGTTTTTACACGTGACAGAGAAACACTCAACGGTAAGCACATCGGTCTGCGGCGTTTTACCACAACAATACTTCTGCTGCAGGTGAATATGATCATATTTAATTCAGGCTGTATAATCTTATATTATGATAAAGTCTCTGTCTTTTGTCCGGCTACAATTAACAATGGGTTTTTTTTGGATGTGTTTTTTTTTTTCCCGGTTATAAAATGCGTTCTTTCGCTTTCTCTTTGAGGCTTAAAAAATTTCACCCGTGAATTTTTTTCAGGGTGGGAAATTATGCCTTATTAGAAAACAATGATTTATTCTAGGCTATTTTGTACCTGAGGCTGTTTCCGATTTTCCTACATATAACACAAATGTCATGTGATATCATATGTGCAAAATTTTACAGTAACCTTTTTCTTCAAAAATACAAAATACTATTTGTGGTTAGTTTATACAAAAACCATCAATGGGAAAAAGGTATCAAATCTTCAATGCAAGTCAATAAATCCTGTATTCTCTCAACCAGATCATTGTTTTGTCAGAAGACCTCCACCCTATAGAAATAAGAAATTATAAGAAAAACTCATAATATCTAATCACATTGCTGCATCCTCAGGTCTTTTTGGACAACCTACTCTCCGTCATGTCTGTAGTCACATCCAGTCTGTCTAAAGATCAGCAGAAGAAGCTGCTCTCTCTCCTGGGTCATGTCAGACTCCATCTGCTCTACAAAGCCAGTGTCCACGACTTCACCGCTGCTGCTTTCCACAATCGCTGTGACAAACAGGGGCCCACTGTCATCGTCGCCTACAACGCCGCTGGATTTGTCTTCGGGGCGTACACCTCGAAGGACTACGCCCAGAGCGGAGAGGCCGTGAAGGACGGGGATGCTTTCCTCTACAGCGTCAATGAGAAAGAAAACAGACCACTGAGGGTGGCAGGTATCACCGGACAGTGTGCTTTCAAAGATGAAGCCACTGGCCCGAATTATGGTGGCTTGGTGTTCCTGCATGATGACAAACCTGAGTTCCAGTCCAACCCAGGGACGAGCTTCAACTTTCAGGCTGCGGCGATGCACGGAGGCGATTTGAAACTGACCGAGTTTGAAGTGTATCGAGTTGAAGGTGATAAACACTTCCTCTTATCGAATATATAAAGCATATATTATCCACATACTTTCAGTCTTTAACGTACACAGTTGGTCTTTTTAAGTAACCTGACTAACATTTGCTTGTGTTATTAAAGTGGACTAAAGTTAGACTAATATAAGTCAGTATCTTACGATGAATTTATTTTCCCACATGCAGGTTTTGGAGATCTTCTGCCCAAACCCTGGAGGAACATCCAGTGGACTGCCGAGTATGTAGAAATCTTTGGCAACGTTGGCCATGATGAATGAACTCATTTGATTGAAAGTTGTGGCAAAAGCATTTTAGTATCCAATTTCATATGCCTGAATCAATTGTATCAATTGGTACCTCTTAGTTAACATAGTCATTGAATTATTACTGTACTTTAAAAAGTAAAATATGTGCACATTTTATATTTTTTTCCTGCAGTGATGTAGAAGTGTACTCCAGGGTGTGTAAGTACACTGTGACATCATTGTTGGGTGTGGTTACGGGTGCAACGGACTTGAAACTTGCAAACTCTCTACATTAAACTATCCAAATCTCTGCAGCTACTACGTATTAGACCTGTGAATGTTCCTTTTGTCGTTTATGTTTATCCTCTAGGAGAAAGCAGCAGTTGATGAACGCCATCCAGAACTATAAGCCTGACATTAAATCAGTTCATCAAGCCCGGGTGTTGTTGGTGGGACCCGTTGGAGCTGGGAAGTCCAGCTTCTTCAACGCCATAAACTCGGTGTTTCGAGGCAACATGACATCCCAGGCTATTGCTGGTACTGCGGACAAGAGTGTGACCACTCAGGTACTAGCACGAGTTTTACTCCTTGTAATACTAAATGTAAATTTGACCTTCAACATATGGTTTGAAGGTCAAATTTGTCCTTTCTGTTTGCTACAGCCTAATCAAGAAGTCAGATTGCAACCACTGTTAGCAGCAGCTATTTTTCCCATTCCTTGACTTCTTGTAATATGGATATAAAACTGATTCAACATGCTCTAACTACACAATTTATCCTATTAAATTACATTTCACGCCTATTCTTTAGTTCCGCACCTACACCATCAAGGCAGGGAAAGGCGGTGGAGCTGTTCCTCTGATCCTGTGTGATACAATGGGACTGGAGGAAAAGCCTGATGCTGGTTTGGACATTGAGGACTTAGTCAACATCTACAAGGGTCACGTGAAGGATCGCTACCAGGTCTCCTCTATAACTAATCATCTTCTATGTCTCTTTATGTAATTGTGGTAGGAATGTAGTTTGTCGAGTGATTAATAACAAGTCAATCTGCCTCTTGCTTCCTTTGTTCCTCAGTTCAGTCCCTCCACTCCTCTCCTAGCGGACGCCCCAGGCTTTAAGCAGCAAGTGACTCTGAACGACAGTATTCACTGTGTGGTTTATGTGGTGGACACCTGCAAGGTCTCTCTCCTCACACAAAAAATGCTGGACAAGTTCGCTTCCATCCGGAAAAAGACCAATCAGCTGGGTTAGTAGTAAAATATGTTATTTTCAGAATGGCTCAGTGTATGTTTTTTTATTTATATAGTAATATTACAGACATTTAAAACCAAAATGACACCTATACATGCTGAATTATATTTATTTTATTTATTATATTATATATATTTATGTATTTATATATATTACCCTTTTGTTGCTGTAATGTTTAGTCACTCTTCTTTTTTCCAATTTCTTTCAACTTCTGATCCCTTGTAGGACTTCCTCAGATTCTGCTGATGACTAAAGTAGATGAGGCCTGTCCGCTGGTGGCAGAAGACATAAAGAATGTTTATCGCAGTGTTTACATCCAGACAAAGGTAACATACAAATGACCTCTACAAGATCATCATGTTAAGAAATCATATTGGGAACATCAATGCTGTAATTGCTGAGATGGAAACTTTGTGATGGGACTGATAATTTCATCCATGTAAAAAAAAATGTCTTTCAGGCCCGGGAGTTGAGTGAGTCTCTGGGCATCCCCTTGTCCTGTGTGCTGCCTGTAAAGAACTACAGTGAAGAGCTGGACCTGGACCAGGAAACTGACATACTGCTGTTGGCAGCTGTGCAGCACATGCTGAACTTTGCAGACAGCTTCTTTGAGAACCAAGTTCTCGAGGACCAAGAGACGAATGATCAGCTGGAGCTCTACAGATCCAGTGATCATCAGCGCCCAGTTTTATCAGGGAAAACTAAACATCAGGTTGCTTGAAAGACAAAACATCAGCATTTGAAAAAAAATTAATTAACTCAAAATAACAAGTCAGGTAGTTACATAGCAGTGCAACAACAACTACAGACAAATGTCTTGGTGACTTATGATAATCCTTAACCCTTGTGGGCACTTCACACTATAGAGTATTAATCATCACCAGATGGAGTGAAGATCATGTGATAGTGTGATCAAAAGCTCCAGAATGGAAATTGAGGGGTCGTTATTTTGTGGACTTCCTTTTCCAAGATCGAGATTGTTGTTAACCTTGAGTTTCAAATGTCTGGAAACATTTGCAAACTACATTTATTCATACATTTTTGCTGTAATTTAGGTGACTCCAACAAACCTTCAGTAATTGAATTCTTACACAAAATGCATGCATACTTATATTCACTGTTACAAACTGTTTTTGTGGGGTTTCTATAGTCACAAAATATGAAATAAATGGAAATAAACTGGAAAAGGTCTAGCTTGTTTTGTATGAACTCTTTTGACTTTCAGTTTTACAATAGTTGGAAGGTTACTCAGACTTTTAATTCCCTCAGTCAGCCACTAGATGTCAGTCATAATTTCATAATCGCAGTTATGAAAACTTGGGCAGTTATGAAAAGATAAAGAGCTCATGTTGCACAACTGCATCTGGTCCAAAAAACATTGAGGACATTTCTTTTTAATGTGTTGATTTTTTAAGTGATGCATTTCCTTGTAATCACGTGCTTTTTGTGCACTGTAATGTCACACAGATCCACAAGTCCAAATGACAAAGCAAACGTACTTTCATGTCGTGTAAAATCATCAATCAAAGAAACCACACAATCAAACGAGTCTGCATGACAAAGAGACGTTGAAGTTTCTTTGGAGCCAATTGCAAAACTCGGGGAGTTTCGGTGCCGCCCTCCTCTGAGCTCCGGTATAAAGAGTGTTTCGCAACGTTGCCAACAACAAACGCTCCTGCAGAGTCTGGACACGCCGGAGGAATATTCAAAGCACCTGGACTTACTATCACGCTTTTCTCACTGGGATTCATTTTTGGATTTTGCAAATATGATTCCAGAGGAAAGCTTTGTATCCATCGAGAACAGGTGAGATTTCTCGGTCGGTTTTCTGCACTTTGTCAGATTCAGCTGGTTAAGTTTTATGGCAGTCTGAGCCATGTGGATGGAAATCATGTGCTGGGCAGGAATCCTTCTCGTCCTTTGAACCTTGCATTGCCTGCTGAAGTAAAATCACACAGTTTGGATTGAGTTCAGAGATTTTCAGCTTCACATGTCGGTGTCAGAACCGCTACCGTGTTTTTTAACACTTTAAACGTTAACGCATAAATAATGTTCGAGTTTAAAAAGTCATATACTGTAGTTATTCCAATTTTAGCACTTGCTTGTGCATTATTGTGCATGCATGTTGCACATCTTGCAGGGAGGCTGTGTGTTTAACCATATTAGGTTAAAAGTCCCTCTATAATTGTATCAAAAGCATCCTTTTTATCTCACTTTTCTTGGACTTAATCCTTATGAACAGTAGAGGTATTTCAACATTTTCATAAAATAGGTGAATAGAATAATAGACCCATTTATTAAAAGAACTCAAAGTGTGTGACATGACTAGTATTTATTTGATTGTAGAATACAAAAGGTTGATTGTTCTGTCTTTCCCTCACAGGATGCAGGCTGTAGGTCTGGCTCTGGAGGAGTTGCTGGTGACCGCTCAGAAACAAGACTGCCTGACCGTTGGGATCTATGAATCAGCAAAACTTCTTAATGTGTGAGTTGAAAGTTTGGCTTAACAATGCCTGTAATGTTGAGCACCCACAAGTATAAGCTTCCGTTACATTTCAGAAAAAGTAACTTCCATCCCACACACGGGAGTGCACGTGTCTATAACTCATCGTTTTCTCTTTTCTCTTCAGAGACCCAGACAGTGTGGTCCTATGCGTCCTTGCAGCTGACGATGTAGATGATGTGGCACTGCAGATCCACTTCACCCTGTTGCAGTCCTTCTGCTGCGACAGTGGCCTTACCATCCTGCGAGTCTCAGGAGTTCAGCGGCTCCAGCAGCTGCTGGGTGCTGTGGATGCCAACAGAAACCAGGAAGACCTCCACTGCATGCTGGTTACGGTGAGTTGACTCAGCACAACAGCCCTGTGTTATGTAACAGCAAGGCCAAAGTGGAAATGCTTTATTATTTTAATGCCGAAGCTAAAATGTTGCTTCACTCTCTTGGCAGTATCTAACCTTTTTTGCACTTTTTGGAACTTTTAAACAATTTTAAGTTTTATGTTGTGAATTGGAAAATCTTTCAAATCAAATTCACCTTTTAAAGCCTGAACATGAATTTGATGTTGCGTTTTGTTTCCCGTGCAGAACCCCCAGGCTGATCACTGCAGGCTACAAGAGGTGGGGACCTACTGCCAGGAGAGCCGACGCCGTGACCAGTGGGTGCCGGAACTGGTCTTGCAGGAACGCTGAAGGGCCTGACACCCACAAACACAAACAAAAACTAGAGCTTTCTTGCTTCAGATACTCTGAACCGTTGTTGCTCATGCCGGGATGGCCTGGAGTGGACTGGGCTGGGTGATCCTGACTGATGACCAGCACGAACCAAGGACTCCCTTTTGGTGACCAGTGAAACAGTCACGAGTGGAGACTCGTTCACAAAATGTTTTTTTGTGCAAAAGATGCAAACAGAAAATGGAAATCCTTTTCAGGCCACATTGTTTTTACATTGTCAGTAAAACTAGATGCTTCTATTATGTGCTGCTGTTTGGCTACTTACAATGTTTATGGGGTGTGACAATCATTAAGAGCAGTAGTAGTATTAGCAGAAACATGTCCACACCCCAACTTATACAGGGAAGACTTGTGTGTTTTCTTGTGGACAGGACAGGAATGCTGTAGTGAAACTATGCCCAACATTCCTGTGCATCCTGACATGGGAGAGTCCTTGGAGAGAAGGTGTGTGTGAATGCGTGGTATGTGTGTACAATACGTGCGTCTTTCTTTAGAAAAGCTTAGGCGTGCAGTGTGTGCATTGCTGAGAAATGACCAGCTGAACCTGTGGAGGAATCGTCGCCATGGAAACTGAAATGGAAATGATGTTCGAGTTAAAGTCACACAGGACTCATAGGCCAAAAACATTGCAAAAGGGGCGCAGAACATGATGTTTTTGGTCTGAGGAGGATACAGAATGAGCACTATAATGAACTGGCTGCTCTGATGGAAACTGTCAACTGTAATTTCATATTGTGTTGCAAAAGAAACCACAGTCAACATCTTTGTGCCTTCAGGAGTGCTGCTTTTTTGATAAAATGTTGTTAAACTTGTATGTACAGTGCAGCACCAGTAATTTATTGATTGTATAAGTTGTTTGTGTAGCTATTTATGATCTAATTTAGTGCTCTGTTAACTAAGTCAATAAATTATTGTATTCATAATTGACTGTCTTATCAAGTAGTTTGTGCTCTGAATTCAAAACAAAAGCCATGTGTGCGTCACAGAACTGGAACTGTAGCTGTAGCACGCAACTAGAGTTTACATTTGGGTTGAGGCAATGGAAAAAAACATGCGCACTTGGGGCAAAGTCTTTGTCAGTGACGGGGCATTACAGCTTCCTTGTAGTAAACAAAAGTCAGTCGGAGAGGGGAAACTGGGGTGGAGACAGAAACTCTGTGTTGGAGCAAACAGGGTGAACAAGCTGATGCAGTCAAGAAGCAACATGGGGGGGGGGCTAAAGGAAGTTGCCAGCTAAAACCTTTTGTATTCTAGTTTTGGACATCATTTACCTCATATGAAGCAGTTAAACCTGCAGATGCATGTTTGAGGGCTGAGAGCCAAAGAATGTGCAAATTGGTATAACCCCACCCATGTCATGGTATCGCCCCATGATCAGGTAGCAAGATGTTCCTGCAACACTGTACAAGTGGTTTTTATCGTCCCCTCTGCCCTCCTTTCACTCTGTTTTGCTCCCCACTCCACCCTCTGCTCTCACATGTCTGGTCACAGCTCCAATTGCAGAGCAGAAGAGAGGGAACATTCACGCTCATGGACCTCCCATTTGTTTACCATTTGCTGGACAGGGGTGTGACTGATGAGTGGACTGCCCTCCCATTGGCTGTGGTTCATCCACCCAAAATATGATTGGCTTTGACTTGCAGAAGGGGTTGGGGGGGACTATAGTTTGAAACATGGAGGAAACTTGTGACATGAAATGCTTCAAAGGGCACACAAGACAGCTTGAAACAGAATTTGTAACAATGACATTCCTGTCAAATTACCCAAAGGGGAGGCTTTACCCAAGTGTTCTCTTTGTTTACTCTGTTTGTGCAGCTATTTTCATCTTTGTACTGCATGTACCTATTACGACAGAGGGCATGTGTGTCCATGTGTATTGCGTATCTTTACAATCTTTGAGAAAGAGAAGAAAGAAAAGCACAAGAACTAAATTCAGTAAACTGCAGCTAATAATTAACAAGATAACTTATAGCATATACTTGCAGATAGATCTCTTATAGATAGATCACTTATGCAGTACTCATGTCATGTATTGGAGTTATTGCAATTATGAGTTTTTGAGCATTTATGTCAACTTCCAAGTCACAACTCCAACCTGGCACTCACTAATAAGGAAGAGCTAGAAAACCAGACATAGATGGCGTGCATCTGCCAGTTTAATGGATGAGGTGTTTATTTGTTCAATGCACAGTGTTGTAATTCTCACAAGGCCAATGCCAACATGTTGGTGTTTAAAATCTTCACCATCTTAGTTTAGCATGTTTGCGTGTGAACAATTGCGAATTAGCAGTAAACACAAAGCACAGCTGAGGTTGGTGGGAATGGCATGTTTGAAGGTATTTGGTTATAAACCCAAGTAATTGGACAATTAAACAAAAAAATTAACCAGATGATGGTACTAGAGGAAATGTTAAGGGATCACCAAAGCTGTTAAAATGCATCCCTTGAGGGTCATAAATGTCCAGTTTTTTTTAACAATCGACATACATTTGTGGTCCAAGTTAGTTGTCTCAACAGCTATTGAATTAGTTGTTCACTTAGACCAAATGTCAACGTCACTGTGACGCTAAATGGAAAGTCAGTGGATCACCAAAGGCGTTCTCATCTGTTAACTATGAAAGTCTGTAGAAAACTTCAATTCATCCAGCCAAAAAAAAAAAGCATTTTTTCATGGCATCTAATAGTTGATTAGATCTTTCAGTCTGGACCAACCAGCATGGTTAAAAATAAAAATGACACAAAAGCATTTGTTATTATATCATCTTTTTATTAATGTTATCTACTTCTCAATATCATCTTTTTAACAGCAATATCCACAAAATATTAACAGTGTGCAAGAAAACATGAGTTATGGCACATCAGAGAACAGTTACAAAAAATAGATATATTTTCTTCATAATCAATCAAGGCAAAAAGATACATATACTGTATGCATACACAGGAGATCAGAACACAAAAGATGAGTCTCGGGAAGGGCTCAGAGCTGATTCAGTGATGTTTAAATTTCAGTCCAGCAGTGAGGAGCCTCAACTCTCCCCACTTGACTAGAAATGAATTTCACCGGGCTCGCTTTGTGTCACAACACAGTGGATTCCCATCTCGAGCCATGTGTTCCACTTTAACACTGTTCATTCTGTTGATCTGATAACCCCAAGACCAGCATTAACACAATATACGCCACTATAAGGCAAACTAACAACCAACCAATCAGACAAACTGTCAGCCAAACCAGCGATTTAGGCCGGCTGTATCTGATTTTAAGCCCAACCAGCAATGGAATGATTGGAAAAACAATGATGGTAAAAAAATATCTCCAGGACAACATCAGTGTGTGTATGTGTGTGTACTGATATGTATGCATGCTTATTTTATGCTGTGTGAATCTTCTGCTGCACCAAATGGCAAACAAAGAACTGCCATTTCTCTCCCAAACACTAACAATGAATCAGTTATTTCCCCAATCTTGCACTACAAACTTATCCCAAATCAGTAATTCTGAGTTACTTTCTACCTCCCACTGCAGTTTTCAGTCAGGTTTGTTTGTACAGTTATAATATTTATTAAGCTTGTTACTTTTATTTTGATGAAAGGTCACTATTCATATCACATAAATCAGGTCTAACCATCCCTTCCATTATTTCTACAGATTAGATAAAGGCATTTGACATTTTGCATTATTTCTTAATGGATCAATTGCTGAGAGTTTGATGAGAATATCAAAACCACTTTCAAGTCTGTTAGCTAAATATAAAGCTAGCAGCCAGCAGCTGGTTAGCCTAGCTTAGCATAAAGACTAGAAACAGGGGGGAACTGCTAGCCTAGCTCTGTACAGAGAACTAGGCTATAGCAATGCTAAAGAGAGCTGAAGTGAAAAGCCTCATTCAAAATCCCATTGACATTTGTAACAAAGCTAACAGAGCCTTTGTCAACATTATGTTGTGTGGCTCAAGCACACTTTCCCATAAACCCTATGCAAATTCAGGCTAAATGTCAGGGTTTGACTGAATAGCCGAGTCCATGAGCATATTGTGGTTAGCTCATGCTAGCACATATCTGTAACAACAGCAGGACAGAGAGTACGTAACACTGTAAAGGTTTTTAGACAGGCAAGATTACAACTATGAAGTTGGAAAATTACTGTGGGTATGGAAAAAATCAAGTTGCAATGACATGTGTCAAGTGCTGGTGCTGCCATGCTTGTACTGCCTGTAGTTTTTTCTGCACTCACAAAGTTATTATTGTTCAATCTTGTTGAAATCACAAGGATTTCCATTTCTTATAGCAAAGGCTGTAGTTGATGCAAGAAATGCTGAATGGGAGATTGCACTGTGTAACAGACGCCGATGGAACAGAGGTTAGTTCAGATGAGACGTCAGGCTTGCTGTGGTAACAAAAGTTCTCCAGCAACTCTAAAGGTCACTAATTAATACATTATATCTAGTTTGTTTAACCTGTACAAGAACCAGAGTGTAAACAGGGGTTTATAAACTGGACCTTGTGGAGCGATGTTGTGGAGCGTGAGCTGGATGCTACTCAGCTGCTGGCTTTAGCTTCATATTTAACGTGCAGAAATGAGAGTGTTATTGATCCTCTCATCTCACTCTCTGCAAATAAGCAAATAAGCATATTTCCCAACATGTCAAACTATTCCTTTAGGTCACTAAGGATTAAATGAGTGGTGACAATAAACTGCAGCTAATATAATGTAGCTGAGTCAGGCACATATAAAGCTGAGTCTTCTTCCAAGAACTGAATTTTTCAGCTTTGTGACTATTATTGGGGTTACTATTGGTCATCACATCGAAAATAGCTTCCCACACTCCAACTGAACAATTTTAGCTCGGGACTGAATCCTCCTCTCCGGAACGTGCTAACTAACCTTTGACTGATAGAAAGAGTGAGTGGAGGCCATACATGCTGTTCTGACTCAACATGACATCACATGACCTCTTCTAAGGTCAAATTAACCCTGACCTGGAATTGCAGGGCTGCAGTACTGTAACATTACTATGTGACCCTCTGCACAGCACTAGAGGCACTGTGTGCTCTTACACACTGGCTCTCACAAATACACACACACACAGACCACACACACAAATGCGTGCACCTCTGTTTTCTCTTCTCCGCCTACTGCTCTGCCAAATCATCTTTTTTAGCTACCAAACATTAGCACCCGCTTTCTTGCTGAGAGTTAGATAAAAAGATTGATATCACTCTCGTGTCTTTCCGTTAAATATGAAAGTAAAGCCAGCAGCCAGGTTATCTTAGCTTAGCATAAAGACAGGTGGAAACTATCCAAAACCATCCAAAACCCAAAAAAATAACAGCCAGTCAACACATTTGAAGCTCAGCCCCCTGTAAAAACTTGCCTTTTTTACCCACGTTGATTAGGATTTAGGATACCTTTGTTTCCAGTCATTATGCTAAGCTAAGCCAACTGGCTGCTGGCTGAAGCTTCATATTTACGTTACGGACACAAACATTTTTTTTTGCAAGTTGTCTCCAACAGACTGTCTGCTTTTCAAACCGTGTGCATCAAGAGGCAAACGCACCTCTCATCACCTCTAAAAAAAACTCCTGACTCCCAAATAGCAGGTAGTTCATACTGACCTAGTGATTAGAGAACAGAAAAGGCGCAGGTTCAACTCCCCTCACTGTCCGTCAGCAGCCATTCGTCCTTTCTAAATGTCTCCACCCTGCTCTGTCACTGTATGTTACGCCTGACAAAAGCCTCGGCTAAATGCCCAAATGTAAATATGATGGCACAAAGCTCCCTTCTTTCAGCAATTAACCGTCAAAAGCAGCGCACAATGCTGAGCCTACCACTCCTTTAACCTTTGACAATCAAACCTAAAAGGCAACTGCAAAAGGGAGCATGTGTAATGTGCATGTGTGTGTTGTCCTAGTTGCCTTTTGCCCACCCAAACCAACACTTGAAAAACTTGTGGGCTTATCTGGTGTTAAAGGATAGATCAGGAGGTTGGTTTTTGCCACTGAAATGAGGTCCGATGTTGATTCATCCTCTAACGGGATATGATCCTAAACCTAACAGGGCGTTTGATTCTATCTCAACATTATTCCAATATATCCTCATCAGGCGTTTGTATTTGTATGTGGTTAAAACCATCCTCCGCTATCACAGGCCTCTAAAACCTGAATGACAAAAAATAAAAATAAAAAATGAAGACAGACATGATTCTGACTGACAGAACAGAATAAGTAGTACTAAAAAAATCCAACATCCACAGAAGGGGATTCTGTGTTTAGATTTTGTATCTTACAAACACTGTACAGGGTAATACTCAACTGACCAGGTTCCATGGACTCCATAGAAAGAAAAAACTCAAAAATAAACCCAAAACAGCTACTCTTCAACTTATCACTTCTGCACATGTCTGAAAGAAAGTTTATACACTTGGTTTGTTTCTCTTGACTTAATTTTTTTTTTTTTCTCACGTCGTCTTCAGTTTTTACAATCAAGTTTGGTTTGTCATAGAGGAGGAGCATTGTCGAGGAGAGGAGGAAACCAAGAGGGGGCTGCTTGCTCTTACCGATCCAGTCCCTGACCAGTTCGAGCTCACGCGGAAAGCAGGCTTGTCTAATGGGGACACTGGAAACTTTAAAGACTGGTAAGGCCAGGTCATGCTTATTCTAATCGGATTTAAAGCCAGAATTATTTTGCATTAAAACAATACACATCCCTGCTTCTTGACTGTAGAGGCAACCAAAAAAAAACACCTCCATCTTTGCACTATACAATGCATTTCTCTTCTTTTCCTTCACTTATAAGCTTATAAAAACTACCAATTGAAAGAATCAAACATAAGTAGAGAAGGCAGGAAAGGGACAGCTTCACTTTTACATTTTAAGTTTGGGATTTCTCCTCCAGCTTTGCAGTCCTCACAGACTGATTCTCAGGTGTGGTCAGCGACCTCGCCCTCTCTCAGGTTTAAAGCACAGGGAGGTTTGATGTACAGAAACGTTTGTTTAAGATCCTCACGGGTATCTGGTCAGGTATTACCCCTGGCCTACGACCAGATTGCCTGTAGTTTCATCAGAGAAAAACCTGATCAGCCAGGTGCAACACCTATGCCAAAGCTAAACGATAAAAAAAAGAAAAAAAGAAATACAGTATTATCTTAGTAATGCTTCAACAAAATATCAAAACATACATTGAGTTCACAAACAAGTATTTCTTAAGAAAAATGCAGTAAACGTCCAGGGTTTATAGCTTGAGTTCTGTGTAGAGCAGTTCACTATGTTCCCCTCATAGGTGCAGATCTGAGGTCAGCTTAGACATCGACTTCAACCAACAGCAGCCGTAATGAACTGCAGTTGAATCTGTGACGGCAGATCAGCATCTAGAGACGGCTTTCTGTACATGATGGCACAGATGGAGGTTTGGCCAAAGGCTGCAAACGGCCTTAGTGAGGCCACAGGCAGAGAAGGTCTGTTGGTACAGGTTTGGGTGGGAACATGCTAGCCCAGTAAAGGCAAAGGCTTCAGCCACTCACTCCAAAATGACCTGCCATGATCTAGCACAGGCAGGTTCAAGGGCAAAAGCTCTCAGACCTTTTTTTAACTGCCTCAAACAAAAAGCATTTATTCCGCTTTTAATGGGACACTAGGTCGTGTTTGGCACGATTGGCAGGAGCACCTACCAACCATTTCAGTTGCCCACATGCATCCTCCCACTCCTTGCCTATGGCACTGCTGTCCGTCCTTTACCCAACCCCTCATTTCATGACAAAAGAAAAACAAAATCCTGGTTTCCTACTAATTATTAATGTCCAAATCCCTTTTCAAGTTAAGCTGACACTTGTAGTTAATTTACCAGCATATGTGAATATTACCAAAGCACCTTGGATCATACTCAGTGATATACTGATCTCAGCCACTGTGAGCACAAGATACCTGCCCCCTAGCTGTGGCTCCGGGGTATGGCGCTTTTCCAGAGTGGCTATTTTGGGAGTGTGTGTGTGTTTCTATGAGTGTGTGTATGCTAGATGGGCTGCTTGAAGTGTGTGTCTGCATGTGTGTGTCTGGGGAAGTCTGGGGATCAATTTAAGTACTGAATGTGTGAGTGTGTGTCTGTCTGTGTATGTGTGTGTGAGTGTGAGGGCAGGAGGAGCGTAGCGCAGCTATAGGATGATGCAGGGTTTCTTGTCCTTGAAAGGGTTTTCGGAGGTGGGAACCCCGACCAGCAGAGGGTCGCTACGAGCATGCTGCTCACAGTAACTCATCAGGTCTGCTGCTGCTTTAGACACCTAGTCAGGAGAAAGGGCGAGACGTGAGGAAAGGCAAGAGGGGGAGAGGGAAGAAGGTGTTTCGGATTTAAATTGGCAAAGCGGGGGAAAGGAAAAGATGATGTGTGATGATGGAGGACAGGAGGAAAGGTACGAAAAG